ACATGTTTTATTTTTTGCAAATGATTATCGAATGTGCCTTTTATAACTATATTTTTATATCATTCGCTAATTCTTGTCTGGGTTCAGTGATTTTATCATACTTTTCAATTCGGAAATCACACAACAAAAGAACAAATTTCCATTCAGAACTCTAATCAGTCATTACTCTATATCTTCTCTATATATCTGAATGTATAGAAGACGCCAAAGTGACAAGCTATGTGATGAGTATCATCCTTGATTGGTGAAAATATTTGTAGATTCGATACTTTATCGTCAAAAAATAATGAAAACAATATTTTAACGAAATTTTAAAAATCTTTTATGTAACACGATAGGATTTCATTTTTTGTAACTTGCTCTCATTACACAAAATTAAACTTTTCGTAACTTTTTACCTAAATAGCTATTCTAGAAGTATGGCTAGCATAAAGTGCATCAAATATACTAATGTCACAAACCTATTCTGATAAAAAATAGAAATTTGATCTTTTTTTACAAAGCTACATTCTTTGGAGTCACAAACTCAACTGCAAACAAGAGAAACCTGAAATAATTTTGAAAATTTTCACATCATTTTCGTATTTTCAATTTTTAACGCGGCTGCCACTGCGATCTCTGGCCCCGCCACTGAGAAAGAAATGAAACCATAATATCGGTTGTATTTCAACCCTTGTCTTTGAATTCACCAGCGCAGCGTTGCCAAATGATGAACAGGCGAATGTAGGCATTCACTAAGGAATGTTGTACTTCATTGTCGTCGCACTTATTTCGACTGCATACTTCCACTACCTGCCAGCAGGGACGTGCATCTTTGATTAATTTGGCTAGAGAGAGTAAAGCAAGAAGAGAGATGAAAATATCGTTGACAGATAATAATTTAGTCACGTGCTCCCACGGCCTCTTACGCTTAGAATACACTAGAACATAGTATATATCCAAGAGATTACGTCTCAAAAAATTTGATTTCATTGTTAGGAAGGCACAATACATTTTTTTTCAGAGAAGAACACAAGTATCCGATGTGATTATTGAAAGACAATTTATTGTCAAGTTGTGTTTCAAGGAATTTTGTATATTCTGTTGTTTCGAAACCTAGATTTATTTGGAGAGGGTGCTGATATTTGAAAACTGGATAAATGTTGTTTTATCTTCAATATTTATTGAATGATTGTTTCTACACCAACATTCGAATTAATTGATTACTAGTTTTGTTTATTTTCAATTTCATTTAGACCTGAGGACGTCACAATGATTGTTGTGTCATCGGCATACATAAAAACTCGACTATCGAGAAAAACTTAGCATTCAGTTTCAAGGTTTAACCAAACTTCACCATCAGATCTGCCCAATGTGTGGGGAAAAAGAGCCCAAAGTGAGGTGATACACACTTTTCAGTTGAATTTACGTCAATATCATTTACTATGTTGCTTCAAATTATGATGTAATTATATTTCGAAAAAATATAGTGTAGCATTTTGAATCATCACTAAATATGTGGAAGTTCATGTTAGACATGCATATGCGTGAAAAATGTCAGTCCGTTCTCCTGTAAAATATTATGTGTTGACTCTACGCATCTGTTTTGGGTACCTCACACACATCCGTCTAGCATGACGTCGACAGATAATAACCTCGCATTCATTTCAAAGTCAATTCAAACTTGATGGCTGAATCTGGTAATGAGAAGTGAATGAATTTATTTTTGATCAAAGTGATGGCATATTTTACTTTTCAGATATAATTACGCCGATATCATATGCTGTGAAGGTCGTAACGGAATGCAAAGGCTACGTGCAATATCAAAATCGATAAGTTTTTTGTTAAACGTTACCAAAAAATACAGGTACCAACTATAGAAAATCGGCTCATCGAAGCAGTTGTCTCTTCCGACAATTTTGAAATTCTGACCAAACCCCAAGATTTTCTCGATCCTAAAATATTTCTCTTCCGAATATGTATTCTGTAATTTAATTCCAATCTTTTCAGTGTTTTTCCTACATAAAATATACCTAAATAATAACTGTTATTTCATTCGTCATAATGATTACAACATTGCACAAGATTCAGATCTTAAATTCTATTGGATAGTTACAAACAACAAGAATTCACTCTCTGAACTCTTATTTCTTATCACTTGTGCTTTATTGGTTTGATTCATGTTGAATCTTCAGTTCACTCTACTTTAACACCTGTCTTAAATTTCAATCCGCCTCAATCCTACCTTTGCACAGCTCAAGTTGATGATTTTCAGATTAATACTTCACGAGATTCGACAATATCTACACATGCACGTTATTTACTCTCGTCAGTTCATACTGAATCACAATTCGTCCTAACCTCACCTTGACACAACTCAAGTTGATGATTTTCAAGTTAATACTTCACAAGATTTTACAATATTGTTTATGAAATGCACGTTATTCAATCTTCTAACTCCACACTACTTCAACACCTGTCTTAAATCGATTACAGCATCACGGCTTTCGGCCTTTCACACATACAGACCTTACTTTTTAATATGGAACAGGTAGTTTGGGAAATTATTCAACCCACACGAGGGTGGCAATGACTGAATTTCATCCTTAATGCCAGATAGTATTGGTTCGAGCGTGCAGAGTTATTTTATTTTTATTTTCAATACAGTGGATCGTGCGACATCTGAATGTTGTATGAAGTCTTGTTGATCTGGGGAAATCTGGCAACACTGCTTTATGGAGATTCCCATGTTGGAACAAAAATTTGCAAAACGGAGCTTGGCTTTTTTCTCCAAATTTGAATGGTATTTCCCATATTGATCAAGAATAATTATATCTTCGGTCTTATTAACATTCTGGCTTTGGCATGAGAATACTTAGGGTCTCGAAATGTGTTCCAATGCAATCCCTTGTAGTTATACGGGTCAGATAGAATAGCGTTGAGATATTTACCATTGAGATTACTTGTATGACAAGATTTATACCACCAAGCACCACCTGAAAATGAAAAGTTAATTGAAATGTTTTACTGAAAAAAGGTATGTTTCACATTATTCTCCACATTAAAATCCAATGTGAGCATTATAAAGGGTGTTCATTTGAAAACTTCCCACCACGGATTTATCGAAAACTACTGATTGAAAATAAAAACGCCGAGACACGTCAGAAGATACATCAAAGGGGACAACTTTTTAACCAATAACTACTTCACCCCCTTTCACCCTCTGCACCCCAGGATCATTTCCTTGAAAATTTTAAATGACAAGGGGTATCGAGTGATAGCTTGTTTGAAAAGTCTTCCGAAGTCCTTCATTATGACGTTTATTTTTTTCAAATCGGTCGATTCGTTTTCCAGAAAATTAGAAAAATCTGCATTAATTTTTATTTGTTCCGATAGAAAACAAAAACACACGAAAATATCACTTTTCATTTCAATTACATTTAAGGTTTGCCAAATCCACAATTCGTTTATAATTCAAAACGAAAACTACCAACATAAACAGCAGTTCGAATGATTAGACGTGGCAATAACCAAATACCAATCCCAATTTTTTCCGCGATTTTTTCATCAACACAGATATCCTAGGCGAACTGTTTTTATTGTTTACATGTGTAGTTATTCTCAGTTGCTAGGTGAAAGAAGGAATTGAATTTCCTGTCAGTTACCTCTGTCACAGTTTTCAGATCGTGAAAAGTAAATCATTGATTNGTGTTCATTTGAAATCTTTTCGTGAGAGACATATCATCTGTATTCATTCACTATCACCTTCCAATTTGTCAGGTTGTAAAAAATTCTAATTTCAAAAACTTATTTGAAAAATCAATACGTCTGTTTGTTTCGATTTTCCATGATTACATTGAATATCGCAGCTACCTCAAGACTTGTCTGTTAAATCTGTTAAAAAAAATCTGTTTTTTCGTCAACCAGCCGTCGCACCCCTACGAATGACAACCCTCAGAAGTCGTAACTTTTGCGAGCTGAGGATTAACGAGGTTTTACCTTTAAACGTGTGATCCCTAACACATATTGTAATGTTGAGGCGCATCACCTTTTCGAAACATAGTTTCCTCATCTTGTAATGCAGAATCCTTATCTGTGATATTAATTATAACTGAGTCGATAACATTTTGAAACTGATCTAAGTTGAGAAGAACTCTGGAAAAAAATATCAAAAATAAACTCGACACACTTTTTTCTACTGTCGTTTTTGTATATCTATACCTTTGGATTGCTATCGATCGAATAATGATAATAATTAATGGCGATAAATGAAGAACTATCATTTTCCATGATTAGTTCACTAATGATTTTGTGAAATTGCATGCGACGTTCTAAGTCGTCCTCGCGGTCAATTCTTTTACTCGGCTATTCGTACACGGATGGAAGTTGTAACGAAACGAACTGAACGTTATCACGAGTCTGGTGTTTATTATCGTAATTTTGACGCATCATTCAATTTTTATTTGTTTCCACCCAAACAGTAGAGCTGATCACCGGTATCGCAAAATAATCTGGGACAATTATTTTTCAGAAACAGTTACTGTGTATTCGACGAATAGAAATTAAACTCATTCAGGAACATAAAATAATCAGTTTTCATATCTGAATGATTTTCAATTTTTTCAAAATCGTGGTCTTTATTGAATATACTCTATATATGTGTCGGATATCAATATACAGAATTGATACTACATGGGAAAGAGAGGTTCAAGCCGCGTCCTTCTTAATCTTTGCACAACAAAATGTGTGAATCTTCCACATAAAGGAAAAAAGCATTCAATTTCAAATTGAACTCTGTATAAGTGTGTTATACAGATTGGTGATGTAGAGGCAATAAAGCAAGGATCTTATTCCAAAGCATGTAACACTCACATGTGTTCCATGTAAGTGAAATTCAACCGTTATATTGTGTAGTGATCCTGTGAATGATATCTGTTTCGGAATTGGTTGAGTTTGACATGTATCCCCAAAATATCGGATCAAAACGTCAGAAGTTTTTACCTTATCTGCTTTTGCTCTGTAGCTTCCAGGTGAATGATATGCATCCACCCAATCAGCAGCAAATAGTGGACTGTAAGGGGTTTATTGCTTTGTGAGTATAGGGGAGCACACGTAAATCGGCACTTTAGATTTCTTGATACTCATCACAACACCGTCTCGCACTTTTCCATTCGTACTGTTAGTGGTAAAATGAGACTTTTGTCCGTCCATCGCGGATAGCAATTTTTTGGCTAGTCCTCTCGACGAGATGCGCGAGGAAATGAACATAAACGTTGTGATTCAGAATCCGAAATATATTCTGCCATATGTTTATTACATTATATTATTATTATGAATGAATATAGAAGGGACACCCGGAAAAATTCCTGAAAATAATGAACCTCTCATTAACAATAGGGCAATTCCCCAAAGAATGGAAGATAGCCAGACTCGTACTTACTGAAAAAGGCAAAAATAAATCGTACAGGCCCTGAACATCATGGAACAAGTCCTCCTCGAGCATCTCATCAAGGTGAGACTATTAAGAGAAATAAAGAAAAAAGGCGACCAGAATGAAAATCAGTTCGGTTTTTGAAAAGGTAGGTCAACAACAGATGTACTGGCAAAGGTACAAAACATCGCAGACGAAGCAAACAAAGGATTGACAGGAACAGAGGAGTCATGATAAAGTTGGATGTACAAACCGCTTTGAGCTCTGCACCATGGGAAGAAACCCTGAACAAAATCAACGGAAGAGATGTACCTCCAATCTGTACAATATAATTGCCATCTACCTTGAAGAGAGGGTGCTAATAGTAGGATACAAGAGGGAAATGAACATCACTGATAGAGCTGAGAAGGATATAGCCGATCAATCGATCATGTTCTATGGCACAACAATCTGGTAAAGAGCCATGGGAAAAATATTTATAGAAATATATTACTCAGTGTCCAAAGAAAAGCAGCCATTCAGTTTTCTGCTCGCTGGCAGCATGCAAGAAATTGAATAGTATCACAATTGAATTGAAGGAAACGAAAATCTACATCCAATGATCTAGAAGATACCTGGGAATCCATGAAAGTGGAGGCTCATGTTAGGAATAAAACAGAAAAGGCGAGGAAAGCCAATAAACAACATAAGCAGGATAAACCCCAACGTTAAAATCCTTCGAAAAAATAGCAGAAGAATTATCTGCTTAGTCGCTCAGTCAATCATGCTCTATGTCACAACAATCTGGTAAAAAACCATGAAAAAAATATTTATAGAAATATATTACTGAGTGTCTTAAGAAAAGCAACCATAAACATAATATATGCATATAGAACAGCATCAACCAAAGGCTCTGCTGATGATTGCAAGAACACCCCCAATAGATCTGTTGGCGGAAGAGGAAAGCATGTTACAAAACAACGTACCAAAAGTATTAGAAAGGTTACAAATTATTGTAAAACGGCAACAATCTTGGGAGATAGACGATGAAAAGGCCAACTGGACACGAAGACTGATAAGAGACATAGAACCTTGAATGAACAGAAAATAAAGAGAGGTGAATCAATGAAGGAGAGAGCAATGGAAGTTTCTATATTATTTACCACTTTTATTCGTAACAAACGTTACTACAGTTTCGTCTTGTACGGGCATTTTCAAACATAGAAAGTTTCATTCCTCTTTTCTTCATTATGATTTCCTACCACGTAGTAACGGCTACATCCATCAATTAAGAGGTGAATTACTTCCTCACACAAGTCCAAACGGGGCATGGTTGTTTTCAGGTGAATCTGTTAATGTTTAAAGTGAGTGACACAGAAGAGTGCAAGTATTGCGGAACGATAGACACGGTAAAACACACAATCCTTGAATGCATATGTTGGGAAGAACAGAGATGGAACGCAGTAATGACGACAAGAGAATTATCACCGATAAACATGATAGGGAAGATGCCAAAAAATAAAGAAAATTTGTAAGCCATTATTAAACTCTCCAAGACCTGTAGCGTAACTTTCCTACCGCTCGTGATTTCATAAAGTAATATGTTTTCGTTTTTAGTTTGTCCTCGTTTGTCATTTATACTCATTGTATCATGTTTGTTTACACCTTTTCGTTATCGACGTTAACCTATTCTTCATTTCATTTCGGTGTAAATGCTAGGGATTAGGGATCTGTATTGACAGAATTATCAACATAGTTTGGCTTGGCCTATTCGCGAGGAGATGGCGCTGTCGTAGCTTTCTCGGTATAATTAGAACTCGTATTGTGCTAAAAAGTTCAGGAACGTTGGATCCATCTGCAAGTGAACTCGTTCTAGTTGATTTCGTGTATTGGAACTGCAAATAAGTTTTTCTGGAACCTTAGCGGTATTTGGAAAGGGAATTAATTTGAACTTTTCTGCCTGGTCTAGGTATGTAATATATCGAGCTAAACTTTAGGCATATTATTTATATTCTTGATTTTATTTTATAGAAACTTAGTCGTATTTTCAACGCAATCTGTCATACAACCGACCAACTGGGAATAAAACCTTTTTTAACCCGAATTATTCTGCTTGGTGTACGAACTTATTTTTCCCACCCCACTTCAGACCATTCTGACAAAGCCAATAACAGAGTGAATAATGATGAAGAACTGAAGATAAAGGAAGAGCTATCACTATAGTCTGCAATTCCGAAGTGATGTCATCGAGTGGTTCCAGAGTAGCCAGCTTGACTCGTGACTGCTTTTTTATTCGGTAAATCTCGAAGATTTTTCGACTCGCGCAAAAAAATATAGGAGGGAAATCCGAGAACTCAACAATATCTGATTGAATTCCATAATGAATGTTTGGAGTACGAACTGAATAGGAGAAAGTTTTTTTTATATATTTGAATGTTTATTTAAAGGTAGTGGTTTTCGAAAGTACTTTTCCTTTCACGAATAATTCAGTGTTTACATGAAAGTATTTGTTTCAAGAGGGCTTTTTCTTTCAATATGTGTCTGAAAGTCATTTCTATGCATGGATCACAAATCTTTGTATATATC